CTTTGTCATTCTAAGCTGTAGTCAACAGGCAACTGTAACATTGTATAGAATTTTTTGATCCCGAAATTAGGCAGAGAGCCATCAACAGGCCTTGCTTCTTGCTTAATCTACTTTGGTCTCCATTTTCTCTTTCAAAGCCACCTCAAAACCTTGACCTTGATGCAGGGTTGGAGGATGAAAATACCAAGATGAAGAATACCATTGCAGTTGGTGAACTCCATCAATATTGGTTTAGTTCTGAGTATTTGCTGTGTTCAGGCTTCCCTGCTCAGCCCCTTCTGGTCCCTATAGCCTCTCCCCCCACTCCCTGCTTCAAATTTTGGGCTCCACACCCCCATGCTGCTTGTACCTCCCTACAGGCCCCAGGCCCTCTCACCTCTTTGCCTTTGCTCATGCTGTTCCTTCTATTTGGAATGCCCTTCCCATGGCCAAGCCTCCTCATCTTTGACATCATGGCAAGTGTGACCAATTCTAGAAGTTCTGTGGCTTCCCCTGCCTTCTTCAGGCTGAAAAAGGTTTCTCTGTAATATGTCCCCATCAGCTGGGTGTATCTCTGTCACTATCTTTTTCTCATTAATTATAAATTATCTGTCTGTCTGTCTCTGTCTGATCATCAGCTCCTAGAGAGAAGGTGTCCTCCTTATCTTTATTTAACCATCAACTAGCACAGTTCCTGTCACGCAGGCTGCTCTCAGAGATGAATAAGCGATGGGCGCTGGAGGAACAGAAAGATGAGTAAAACAGGACCTGGCTTTTAAGAGGTCTGCCACCCAGTGGGTGACCTGGACATAAGTCTGACCATAACATGGGCAAAAGTGACTAGCATCAATAAAGGGCCCTGAGAGTACAGAGTGGGAAGCAATTAAGAACAAGCACAAGCCTCGGGGGACATATTTCCCACCACTGCCCCTTCTTCAGCCCAGCCCCTGGGGAGGGACCATGAGGATCATGACCTCATTGGAAAGGGGCATCAAATCTGTGGGTTAAATCTTTTTGTCCCAACTTTTGAGGTCAAACATGGCTGTGATCACCACCGAGCTCATCTATTCTGTATTTTATTTGGGGTATGGAAAGAGAAATTTACGATCCCCGTGTTCTTTATCTGTGCCTTGACTAGAAAATATACTTGGAACCAGAGTCTACAAGGCTGAAGCAGCAGTTTGACATGAATCCTGGAAAAGCAGGCATAGACTATTGTCACATGTGTTCTGAAAAGACAAGCACTCTGCCTTACTGCTTGTAAAACAGATGAGGGACAAGTCAGGAAAAAGTCAGCAAATATTTACTTGCTAGTTACCATAAGGCATAAGTTAAGTCTTTGCTTATTCTGTATTACAATAAAGTTGAACTTCTGTTTAATTCTGTTTACTAAGAAAGGTAAAGAGATTTCCTCTGATAGTGAAAGGATTATTTTAATAGTTCTAAGGACTGCTGACCTATAACCTTGGAACGAATTGTTGTGTATAGAAATCCACGTGATGGAATGTTTGCTATAGAAAACTGTATCTGTTCACTTGAAATTGTAAGCTGTATTTATCATAACGGAGACTGATTTTACTCATCAGGCTTGTGATAATCAGCCCACACTAACCATGTCCTCACTAACCTAGGTCTAATTAATTCACCAGTATAAAAGGACAGTACAAATTGTCTTAAACTAGAAACACAGATTCAGGTAAATTATTTTACAAATTAAACAAAAGTAACTAACATACTGACCTTAAAACCCAGTGCAGCTCTTAATTAGCTACGGTTTCCTCATCTGTATACAGAGTACAAAAGTACTAACCACGTGGGATTGTTGGGAGCATTAAAGGAGTTAGTAACATGTAGAGCACTTGGAATTGTCATGGTACATAATAAACGTTAGCTACTATATTTTGTTGTTGCTGCTACTGCTGCTGCCATTGTCATCAGGCTTCCCAATACCAGGGGTGCTCAGGCATGGATTTGATAACCATCAGTCAGGAGTACATTAAAACGATCTTGCCCTGGGTAGAGAGTTAGATTCTAAGATCCCTTTCAATGCTGAAGTAAACAAAAATCGGGGGAAAAATCTTTATTCTATTATTTCCCACCAGGTACTTTTTCCTGTCTCTACAAGGGACCTGTGGGAAGTCTCTGATCTCAAAAGCTCAGAAAATTGACCAACTACCCACAGACAAAAGAGACCTGGAAATCCAGAGTTGGAGAAGCAGACAGAGGCCTGCCCCCATCCCCGGAGTGACTCAACCTACCCACCAACCAGTGCCATCTATCCCAAAACAGGACATCAGAGCCAGCACCCCAAAGAGCTCTGGCCCTCCCAAGCAGAAGCAGATTGAGGACTGGGTGCTCCATGGACAGAGATGTAGCAGAGAGCACATGAGAGATGATCCATGCTTGGGGGACTCCTCAGCCAAACTCTCATCTGGGGAGCACCTTCTGGGGCCTCATGGGACAATGGCTCCTGAAGCCTACTCAGGTGGACAGACCATTGTGTCTCGGCACTTAAGCAGGGGCAATCATCGCCGATCCCAGAGTTCACTGACCGTATGAGGGGGCTGCAGAAATCTGCATAAACTCAGAAGAGGCCACCTGATCACTGGCCCAAGTAATCTATGACCCTTCCTCTTCATAGAGGAAAGAATGTGCCAGTCTTATTCTTTTCTCCCCACCTGGCTTGACTTCCTTAAAGGAAGTGCTGGCCCACAGGGGTTGACAAAAAGGACTGGAAAATCAGTCGACCTCTAGTTTTCTCCTGCTGCCAGGCAGCACATCTTGAAAATAATAGTTTTTATAAGGAGGCTATGTTTCTGTTGCATTGAGTTCTCAAATTTTTTAGCCCAAAGACATTCTTCTGACCTTCTAGATAAGTACAACCTACAACCCAATGCACTGGGCCATAGGTTTCCAAGATTCCAAGAAGTGTATCCACTCACGCAGTATCTCAGGATATGGAAGTTTTGGGGCTTGTCAAACCACCACCTCACACCTCAAGGCCAAGAGCTAAAGTTTCAGAAGAGGCCCATGCACAAGGGCTTCATCTCAAGTGTATTGCAGCGATGACCAAGTCAGGGTTAACATCCTTCCCTTCACAGAGAGTTGGGTCTGCTTTTTGTCTCTAAGCCAAAGACAAACCACATCTAAAGATGAAAACTCATTCTGAACTCAGTGCCACAGACTCTTCTGAGGGTTGTAGGGTCACCACTAGTGTAAGAGGCACCTGCTCTCTTCGGGCATGCTAAAGAGACCCCTGTCTTAGCTAATGGACCATATGCCCCATCGTCTGGGAAATCTGCCAAGAGGACCTAGGCAGTACTCTTTTTTTTTAAGCTATTCATTTTATTTATTCTTAAATAAAACTGCCTATCCTCATTCAGCTCTCATAACAGGAAAACTCTAAGATCAGGCGATCTTAGCACATCTCCACACAGAATAGACCCATATGACAGAGCAGCTCTGAGCCCAAACCATGACATCTTAAAGGGTAGGGCTAGAGTTAACCCCACTTGTTCAGCTTCTCCCAGAATACCACCAGCTGGAAGACACTGGCACATGCTTCAGTTAAATTAAGGAGAATTAGAGGAAGTTTCACTTCACAGAGAAAAAAAGAATTACATAGACTTCTTATCCCTAGAGGTCATAAATGTCAAAAATCTAAAAGAGCTCAAAATAGTGTTTAAATAAAAGAATGGATGATAGAATTCTAACAGGCTGTCAAGGGAAGCTAGGTCTACTGTGGACAGTGACGGTTTATCCCTAGACTTTTAAGAGAAGTGAGGGAGGGTTACTGAGCCCTCCCTCCTTAAGCTGGTGCCTGTATATTAGGCAAAAAGTACAAGGATGGATACATCAAGTATGGCAAGTTTTTGAGCCTAAGAGTCATAGCCACCAGCCATGAGGTGGCCTGTCACTCAAGTAACACCTCAGCAAAGATGCCCCAAAAGAGCTCAACAATCAAGTTGGCACACGGCAGACTGAGCTGGCCCTCTGACCATCTTCCTGGCAAGTGGACTGGAGGGGCCATTTGGAGCATCATACTGATGAAGTCAATACGCTGTATCTCCCTCCGTGCCTCTGCCACACAGTGCCAGCACTGGCCAGCTGGTGGGTATTCAGAGGAATCCTACATGAGGATTGCCAAAGGAGGGGCGGGTAAACACACCAGGCAGAGCAGTGGTGGTATGAGTTGTTTCAAGTGAGGGGATTGAGTCAAAACTTGGATCTCAAGGGCCCCTTTTCCCCATACAATTCTTGCCTACTGCTAAAAGCCAGAAAGAGCCACAGAGGTGTTTTCAAAAAGAACAAAATAGTGGCCTCAGGAGATCTGAGTTTGAGTCTCTGCTCTGCTCCCTCAACCTCTAGGATCTAGGAGCCTTGATGCAGGATGCCACACTTGCAAATTAGGCTAGAACTGCCCTACCTCCCAGGCTTGGCATTAGGATCAAGTCAAAATTACATGAAACCTGATGGTGAAAACCCTTTGAAAGCTGAACACCCTCAGTAATAACACAAGAGATTTTCATTTCAGAGCTAAGGAGGAAAGAGGCAATGGTGAAGTTGAAAAAAAATGTCTAATCCTCTACCTAAATGCCCAACTATACCCAACATGCTCATGCTGCTTTTTTTCTTGCATGACCAACCATTCGAGTTTGCCTGAGACCTTCCCATTTTTACAAAATCCCACATCCTGGGGAACTGGGCGGCCAACTGGTACAACTGGTCACTTGCTCTTGCCCCCTTTGTGAATCAAACCAGCCGTGACCATCCAACGTGCCACCTTACTCAGGGGGAAAAGTGATAACAACAATTTCCCTGTAACATAATGCTAATGACTGTACTTAGCACATTTTTGTACTTTTATGATCGTTTACTGATTGAGTGGAAATACGTCATCCTTTATTAGAGGAAAAAATAAATAAACATGGTTTTCCATAGTTGCCTGCCATCTGAAACTACTACTCTTTACATCATTATCAGTGGTTCTGAGTACTCTCTCATCCATCCATTCATCCATCCATCCTCCTTTGCATTCACTCATTTATTCATCCATCCATCCATCCATCCGTCTACGCAATAAGCTTCTGTCAGGCCCCTACTAGATGCCTGGAAATGTGGAAGGGGCTGTGAGGAACTCAATCTCCGTCTTACAGAAGTTCACATCTCTATTAGTTCGTTCCTGTTGCTTATAACAAAATACTTGAAACTGAGTAATTTATAAAGAAAACAAAATTTATCACTTACAATTTCTGAGCCTGGGAAGTCCAAAGTCCATCTGATGGTGGCAACAGTGACCCAGGGTCTCACACTGAAAGATGGTGGAAGCAGAGAGAGCAGAGAGAGAGACAGACAGACAGACTCTTCATGCTCCCCTTTGAAAGCCCTCAGAACCACACCCCTGACCACCATTTTTAATCCATTCACTACAGCACAGTCCTACAATCCAATCACCCCTTCAAGTCCCCACCTTTCAATGACCATAATAGGATTTCCCATCCTCTTAACACTCACAGTGGAGACCAAGTTTCTAATACATAAAACTTGGGGGACATGATTCAAGCTTCAATGAGTTTTGGGGGACATAATTCAATCCACTACAACAGCTTTGTTAAACACCCCCCACCCCAGGCATAGGGTATCAGGAACATGTTTGACCCAATGTGACTGTGATAATCCAAAAGGGCAGTAAGAATTAGAAGCAGCACACACGGTCTGAAGGTCTAACCTGGCTCCTTCCCTATTCCAGGAAGCCGGGCACCAACCTTGGACGCAGATGGATTTGGGTGCCTCTTTTCATTCACTCATTCAATCAGTATTAATTGAGTGCCTGATGTACACAGCATGGTGGTAGGCAGCAAGGATAAAACAGGGAACAAAAACAGGCCCAGCTCCTGCCCTAAATAACTCACGGTCTAGAAGGGGAAACAGACAATATTCAAGGAAACCAATAAATGTGGTGTCTCACACTGTAAGAGGAAGCAGGAGTGGACAGCAAGGGGAAGGGGTGGTTTCCAGGATGGTCAGCGGTCTCTCCGTTTCCAGGATGGTCAGCAGTCTCTCCAAGATGGAGACATTTCAGCTAACACCTGAACCATGAAAGCAAGACAGCAGGGAAGGGCCATTCCAGAGAATTAGGTACAAAATCCCTGAAAAAGGAAAAGAGTTTGGTATATTCAAGGAAAAGAAAGGAGGTCATGTGGTTAGAACCCAATAAGCAAGAGGAAGTACCGCATGACTGTGTTAGTAGTAGCTGTATTAGCTTTCTGCATGCTGAGCACTGGTCTCAGCACACATCATCACATATACCTCACATATACCACATATACAAGGTAAGGACTATTACTCTTCCTTATTTCAGTTAGCTTCTGCTGCGTAACAAACCCCTTCCTCCAACCAACCCCCCACAAAAAAAAAAAAAAAAAAAAAAAAAAAACTTGTGGATGAAAACAGCAAGCATTCTTGCACGATGCTGTGAGTGGGCAACTTGGGCTGGCTCCTTCCAACATCTCATCTCTGTTCTACATGATATCAACTGAGCTCACTTCTATCTGGGAACATGGATGGGATGGTTGGGATCTCTCTCCACATGGTCTCTCCTCCTCAAAAGAGGCCAGCCCAGCCTTGTCACATGGCAGCAGCATTCTACGAGGGAGAACAGAAGCTGCAAAGCCTCTTGAGACCTAAGCCCAAAACTCACACATCATCACTGCCCATCACATTATATGGAAGCAAGTCACAAGGCTAGCTCAGTTTCAAGGATATGGAGGAACAAGCTCCACCTTTAAATGGGAGGAGCTATACAGAAATTTGAGACCATTTACAATCGGCCACATTCCCATTTGCAAAGGGAGAAGCTCAAGCAAAGAGAAGTTACATAAACACATCACAGTGACACAATTAACAGGTAGTGAAGTGGCATTCTAATCCCAGAAGGCTGACACCAGAGGCTGTGCCCTTGGCCACAGAGCTAATGAAGCATGAGGTGAGGCTGGAGGGCAGGGAGGGACCAGATGGCAGAGGGTCTTGTCTTCTCAATGTTCTCTTGAGAGGCAAGGTAGTGCAGTGGTTAGGGAGTCAGAATTCCATCCCAACTCTGTCACAGACTGGCAATGTAACCTAGAAAAATACCACACCACACCATGTCCAGATGGGCACTGCCCAGACAAAAGCTTCAGTAAGTAAGGAAGATACTAGCACCTAAGAAGAACAAGGACTCATGCCTGCATTGACCTAAAATATCTGCCCCTGGGCTGGGCACCCAGCCAGACCTTCCCATGTGCACACAGAGCCCCCGGGAGAAACCAATCACGCAGGGGCGAATCCTCCCAGGTGACCAAAGAGCAGACCCCAAGGGAGCCCGGGACCCGGGCAGGATTTCATTGGTGAAGGAGGTGGGGACCATGAGCTGGGGTGGTGTCCCAAGCAGATAGGCCTTTTGAGGGCACTACCAGGAGTGCTGCCCAGCAAAACTTCAGGATACCCGCAGTGAGGATTCGGGCATTTTCAGACAGGAGCTGAGTCTAGGAGCCTTTCTGTTCGAAGGCGTTCTGGCACCA